TTGCCTTTTTTAAGGGCTTGGTCACCGTGCAGACTGAAAGTGAATGTGACTGGTCAATGTGGGATGAATGAGCTACAACTCGTGATTTTGATTGGATGATACAAGAGTATTAATATTGATCTTAGTCAAAGCATGGTCCATGACAAAAACTGGTGTTGCTGGAAGGCATTCTCCAAATGTTCCTTTTCTGCCGAGGTTTAAACTTCGAAGTTTGTGAATATCATCATCCCAAATCAATAATGCAACTCTGGGTCAGAAGGGATGGCTTAAATTGGGGTATGGAATAAAATCGAAACAGATTAACATTTTGCAGGTGCACTTCTCCCATAGGATTGTGTATAGAATGCATTGCATGTTTGTCATCCAAACCCATAATGTATTGCAAATGTCAAAAAGGTTTATTTCCTAATAATGTTTACCTGTATGTAATTTCAGTATGGATTCAAAATGGTCTACTTTTAGTACTCCCAGCAGTTTTCTGCATGCACCCTAAATTTGAAATTAATACAAAATTTCATCACTCTTTTAATCACAGCATTGTAAGAAGTGTCTCTGTCCCAGTTCATTTCACCTGTGGTGGAAGCAGGAGACCACAGTAGCCCCCTACATTTTTCAACTGAGGGGGCATGCCCCTCTCCTCCCCCACTTTTGGCAGGTCCTTTAAAGGGGAAGGCACTATGTCAGGCTTTAGTACAAAGAGACTGTCACAGACCAGTGTTATCACAGTGCTTACCACCATTGGCAGGGGCCAGTCTATATGACCAGTGACATTGTGACCATGCTCACTGGATTTGTCAGTACATTAAAATGACTTACTTGCTTTCAATGTTTTGTTTAACCCCCGAGCAGACCAGCCAGTAAGCAGGAGAATAAAGTACAAACGTAAGGCCCAAAAGGTGGGACAGAGGCTGCTAGATGTAGGCGTCATTCAGCACATAACTTCCCGTAGCCGCACTGTTACTGGTAAGTCTGTGGTCATACATGTATGTGTACTTTTTGGTAAAATATTCACCCAACTGTTACAATTTTGTTTACTGTATATTTCAAGTCAGCATTTTGGAGGGCCATTCGTGTATAAGGTTTCTCTTATGTCCTCTGTGTCCATTACTTTGTCCATTTTTTAATGCAAACAATACTTGAAACGTCATAAATTGTTGGAATGTGGGGTCTTTGCACCAGGGGCGTACCTGAGCTCATTTGAAAAACTTCCCACCAGCCCGTCTCTTCCTTTACTGGTGAGGATGCATTTCTACTTAGGGCAGATTACGTAACTCATTATAATTCCATGCCATGTGTAGTGCTTTTGGATTGTTTGTCGGGCGGTGGATCAGTGTTGTGGTTGTACCATCACGAGACTAAGGCATGACTCCAAGCCTGAATTCAAGTCACAAGCTATTTAAATTTACTCCCATAAAAGCGTTCCTTTGTCATTGTTCACCCTGTTACTGTGACTAGTCTTGTGCACGGTTTTGTGTCTGGTCTTGTGAAAGTTTGTGTGATGGTCTTGACTACAACACTGCACTTAATGGTGTAAAGTTGTGAACGAGTGAAGTGACAAGTGGGAACAAGCCAATCATAAGCCTTGCAGTCTCATCAAGTCACTGACTATCCCAACAAAATTTGACAAAGGCATTCGGTTGTTTTTTCCATTCCCTGCTTACCGTGCCCAGATTTGAGATTTGACTTTGATGTGATTGCTTTTGATAAAGTAGTAAAAAGGTGCAGAAGGCTAGTGAACCATTTTATATATGAGGCATGTCAAACCGTCTCTATTTCTAAAAGGCCCATGTGAAAGTGTTTTAAGTTGTTGATTTTCTCTTCCATGCACCCATAGATATATGCCATGATGACCTGGCCGGGTTCTCATCTGATACCAGCGTGACAGATTCCACCCCCTACCCAGTGGTCACAATTGACAGTGTCCCCAAGACCTCCATCAGGCGTCGCAGCCAAGACCTGGGCAATGATAGCTCTGAGGACAGCCTAGAAGTCTCGGCGATGCAGGAGCGCCCCAGGCGCACCAAGAGGAGGATCTCTGACTTCTATTCCGAGGAGATGGAATCCAGCGATGAGAGCTCCTCCTCAAAGTCAGGGCAGAAAGGTGGGAGGACAATTGTGCTGAAGGCTGAGGTTCATGTGTCTGCGACAGCCGACTCGGATGAAGTCCCAGGAGTTGGCCAGAAGGATGCCTCTGCCTCTCAAAGCCAGCTGTCTCATCAAGACGTGACAAGACAAGCCAGCTCGGGTGAGGAGAGTCCAAGACGGACTCCACCGCCCGAGTCCCAACCCAAGATGTCTTTTTCAAGGAAGTTCCTGAGGGGTGCCTTCTCCAGCAGCCATGCTCCATCGTCTCCCTCTTCTTCCTCCTCTGCCAGTAAGCAAGAATCCTCCACCATGCCCTCCAGGCATGCCAAGCAGCCCGAGTCACGGCAACTGTTCTCCGCAGACACTCAACACTTCTACTATTTCCGCGATGTGGATGACCCGCTCCTCTACAGCCTGTCCATGGACTCCACCAGGTCAGGTTCACCCCTGGAAGACAGGGAGCAATCCCGCACAGGGAAGCCATCCCGAAAGCCCTATCCACACTGGAAGCATCCCTTGGCCAATGCCGATTATCTCCTAGGGATCCTCCTTTGCAGGCGAAGACGCAGCAGCACAGCCAAAGAATTCACTCGCTCTGTTCCCAACAAATTTTGGGAGGAAGACAGCAATTCTCCCTGTTGTAGCTGTTTCACCTAATCTTTTACGCATTTGCAGCCTGTCTTCCTTAGACATGAAGTCCTTGACCAGTCAAGTTATTAGCCTTTCAGAAGAATGGCCGACACAATAAGAGGAAGCTATTTGAAGTGGGTAAATTTGGAGCAAATACAAAAGATTTTACCCTAACCAAATAGCGCCCTCCTATTGTGTCCACCATAGCTCTAAAAGGCTAATGGCAAGCCCAGTGTAACTTTCAAGACTGTGTGCTAAGTAGAGGAATTCTCTTAAAACTAATGTGCCTCTGGCAAACCACCTCACTTTTGCCAGTTCCGTAATATCTGCTCCAGGTCAAACAATTCCATTTAGTTGGAAAACAGTTTACCTTCACATACATCCAAGTGGGGAGCTGGTAGCCACCACAGATGTTTATAACAAATAGACAACCCAAATGACCAAAGTTCAGTTGTGAAATGCTCTGTAATCTCCATGAATTTATCTGGTACCTCATGTGAACTTTGGAAATTTTGGTATGGGATATATATGTGTATAGGCAGTTATATATGCAGTTTAAACATTTTGTAGAAGCCATTCCTCTGTTTTCCAATAGGTTTGTTGGCCTTATACATTTATAATAAGAGTAATAATAATTTCCCCTTTCATGAATTTTGCATTTGAATATTCAAATTTGGAAAATAATACTTGAATATTCAATAATTGATCGAATATTCGGATATTTGCATATTCGGCACAGGCCTAGTTTCAATACAATATGGCTGCTTACAGTTTGGATATCATATCAACAGTTATTTATGTGAGCTGTTAGCTTTTTATGTACCTATGCAATTTATGTGTGTGCAACTTTTGTATGAACAGAAAGCCTCCTAGATCTGCAATAATACGGAAAGTATTAACAACTTACAATTTTTATTTTGTATTTTAAGTTTATGATTTGCAATATGTTTGGTACCATATGGATAAGTAATTATTTTTTTCGGTATGAATTCTTTTGTTCGCGACTTCCTGAAAACTCACACTTTTTTACTCTTTCTTTCCAAGTTTTACAACATGTACACATTCCTTATTCCCTAACTTCATTTGAAATGATAGAATAGTGCTGTTACTTTCTGGGCAAACGATTTCCATTTCAATGCTACAGGCCATTCATCATGTATTCATTCATCGACCCTGTATTTGATAGACACAAAAATAATATTGACTTTATATTGAATTATATTGCTAACAGGTTCAGATATACATGTACATTGAATGAAAGGCTGAAGATGTACTAAATTTTTTATTGCAAGTACATGTACGTTGTTGTTAAATTTTATTTCCCCTGCTAATGTCAAGGCTGGCCGGATGTAAATGTTTGGTTTATTAACCGTATTTGCGCATATGTTGTGTCATAAAGTTTAATATACAGTACTAACCATGAATACTTACACGTCCAAAATTATGCAGCTTTTTTCTTTTGTTTCGTCTCAACCAAAAAGACATTTCGGTGACACATTGAGCCGAGTTATGGAGAAGGCTGAGGTTTCGTGTTTGTCATCACAAATACGAGGCTATTGGGCGAGGTGTGTTACTGTAATTGTCAGCAAAATTGACACTGAAAATAAACCAGCACTCATACAGAGGAACAAACTGGAACGGAAGCTTTGAAGAGTGCACCGTTAAGGTTGTGACACTTGACCGCATCACCATAACAAGGCATGGACATGTACTGGACGTGTACACGTATTTTCACCTGTACATAAACGAAGGCCAACTTGCTTTCGATCTGATCGTACGTACCGTGAGCAGTTTTGCTGACGCTGACCTGTGTGTGAAAAGCACAGTGTACAAGATCCCGTGACGCGACATTTTAATGCTAACAACCTACCCCTGTGAATTCTGATCATCGTATGGGTATTGTACTTCTACAAATCAATAATGGCCTCTGAAGATTCTACCACTAAGGTGGTGTCACCGTGTCATGCGACCGAAGAATCGCAAGTCGTGATTGTTCCTAACATGTCATCTGTGACTATCTCTACCGGAAAGCGTTCACGCTTTTAAGCTTACATGCACAGGCTATGAGAAAAATGGAAATATATGAAAAGTCAATTATAATCATGATGACGTCATCATGGCGTCTTCCATTTTGTAGCTGTCTTTGGGAAAACCAGCAGTTTTGATGTTGATCAAGTGCTGTCTCGTGTGTAAAAAAGGCGTTTTGACAACGTCATCGTGACGTCACTATTTTCTAATTATCATGATCACAAATACAACTGTGAAAATACTTTTCTTTTGTTCAGGAGTTGTATTAAATGATCACGATAAGTTTGAACAAAAAAATCATGAAAAACGTCATTACAACGACACACTTGTATTCGCAATTCTGGAATAGCGTTAAAATTCCACCACACTTAGAATTCTGTCACCGAAAAAAAGACGATAGAATCACACAGAAGAAACAGAATGCATCACTGGCATGAAAAAGCCTTTCTGGATAGGTTATCTCGTTTATACTTTCACCGAATTTAGCTTTGAAGTCATTCCTTTCAGCGCTAATTTGAATGCAGTGTGAAGTGGCCATTCAGTTGAAAAGAACTGTCAATTATAGTTTTCGAATACGAAAATACAGTAAAATATATCAAATTGATAGTATCAGCCAATCAAATTGAATTACCAGCGTAGAGAATTCAAAATCGCCAATGCATAAGACCAAGAACATACGATGAAGTGAATTCACAAATGGGCAAACATTTTCGTTTTTCCTGCTTTGTAATAATTCAAATAACCAATAACGCGTTAGATAACGTACACATGTACACTGGATTGCAGTCACACAAAAATGCAAGAAATGTTCGCCAATAATCCCCAAACAATTTGTGTACATTACTGAACTGCATCAAAACAGTTTTCGCAAACAGTCATGTGATAAGTAATTCCGGATACATCCCTGAATTTGCGTACTTCTTGTCCATTTTATTGTGCATGTAATCATTACTCATAGGAAGGTGAACACCGACGGTAAAAATTTAAAGCCTCATTAAAAGAACGTCTGCGAAATTGAATAAAATTGAGTGGCATTTAATATTTTTTTCAGTTACTAATTTGAATGTGTTGAATACATCTGAATGTCTACAATAGAAATTGAACACGTGAAGATGACTGTGGGCTCAGGAATTAGCAGAAAGGGCAAAATTGCTTCACCATTTACACCCAGAGATGGATTCGAATACATTACTGGCAAGCTGCAGCCGTTCTTATTATACATGACTACTGTAAAAGCCTGTGATGCTGTCATCGGTAATAAACGACTATGGAAAAATATACAAAGGGGCGCCATTGTTAATTAACTGCCTGCCTCACTCTCCTGCCGAAACGTTAATTGGTTTCCCGATGAAAAGAGTCTGACTCTGTTTCACCAGCCACTCATAAATCGCTCATAACTTGACGGCCTGCATAATAATGTTTACCATAATGTTAATAATTATAATCCCGACCGTCTTTCCATGCACAGTAATTTGGCTGCGCTTCAAAAACAGACTGCGTGAAACACGTTTTAAACAGTCCGGCAGGAAGCTTAGAGCGATTTCACCGGGTACCGTGCTCATCAGATAGCTCTGGCATGCAGCGGCCTAAAAACAAGAAAGTCGTACTTATATTAAATTATGAGATGTAGCTTGAAAGGTGGCGAAAGATAATGGACCGCTACAGAACCAACAGGTGTGACCGATCACATATACAAAAATAATATCCGGAGACACTGAAGCAGTATACAGTCCACTTTCGATATGAAGAACCCAATTATAACAAAATACGGTTATAGGACCCCAATTGCTTGAATATTGTTTTTCTTTTTTCTTTCCTTTTATGAGAAATTCCTGGTTGTAACAAAATTACTTGTTTTGTTATAACTTTGTAATAACAAAAGCCTCATTTAGAAAATACTACATTGCAGAATACGAGAGAGCATACATGGACATGTATTCATTTTTAAAAGACTTTTATTGTTGACTGCTATAATTGGAAGTATTTGAAAACCTATATGTGTCCATGACATTCCATACATTAATCGCGCATTTTTCTATCAACCGCCTTCCATGTTATTAAAGTAATACGGGTTATAAATAGAATGCAAGGAATAGAAACTCAGAAAACTCCGGGGGGGATTCTGGACGGAGACATCGTGAGAACAAATGAAGTCATAACAGGAACTAAATCATGTGCTTTAAGCCGTTGGAAGGCACGATATAACATTTCTGATCGGTAGTGTGTATGTGTTTTATGTTTATATCGACGTTGAACCAAGTTTAAAATCGATGGATACACCGTCGGCGTGTGCTGTATTGTCACCGTGTCTATTAGTATCAATAACTGTCTTGTTACACATCGAAAACAGTCTCGTTTGTCTTTGCGCTTGACATCACTGAAGATGGTTGTAAGTGAGCTTGCACTACAGGAAGAAAGGCGAGAATGAGAACCCGGATTTTTCGCTCAAGTCAATAATGAATTAAATTTCATGGACGTCTCCCCAATAAAGAGGAAATGTCGTGTCTTCCATAACTATGACATTTAACATACTGCCTTAACTTTCCAGTCCCGTTATTTTTGGATTTAATTTGGAAATTCCCTTAGAACGCGTGTTACACCGACTGTGCCCATGACTACGCTTCTGCGCCAACCCCAAAATCAATGCTAATTTATTCCAATGCCAACAGTTGGAATTCCAGTCGTCCAACGAGAATTTGATAATTAGCTTACCGCTACGCTATCGACTGGAACATTTGCTCAAGAGCGATCACTAAAACATGCCTAGCTCAGCTAGGCTAGCTGATCCCAAGTCGGGGGATGATAATCGATGGGTTATAAAATGAATATTGCTGCAAGGTTAGTTTTCATTTTCAAGTAGCCAGACTGACGTTTCCAGAAGTTATTTGGCGATGGGGTTTGTACACTAGCACTGGCAAACTTCGTGTCTTTTGGGCAGGGCACTTGGCAATTCACCAGGACGGTAACTGTCAACCTTGAACCTTGAAGGACAGATCTTTCTTTTGTTTGCAAACATTCGCCATCGTTTTGTAACGGCAAGCCTTGATCAAAAAATGTACAAGCAATAAAAGATGGAGGTCTTTTTCATTAAAAAGTGTACGCACTGAATTTGGTGATATTGTTGCAGTGCTCATCGGTGGATGTGATTTGACGAATGTTGAACACGTAGGCCTACGAGGAGAATTGCTCTTTTGCCATGGCCAGCCAGTTTGCCAACCATTCGTATGGGAAAAACGACGACTACAGGCTCTCCCGTGGGAGACTATGAAATACGAGCTCCTGCAACAGTAATAAATTATACATGTAGGCCTATACGACCATGGAGGAAATAAGAATATATGGTACGACTGGTTCGCAGCACTTCAGCAAAATAGCTGTCAAAATGTGCATGCTAAAATTGTCAGTATATCTAAATAAACAAACAAAACATAATCCCACAATCCCTGTCACATTATTGATGTATGCTCCAGACAACGGAATCGAAGTGCTTGTGTAAAGAGGTTATGCATGGCAGCCATCTTCCCGGTAAGCCTTTATGCACAAAAGGTCTATTCACGTGTAAAAATCATATCCCTCTAGGTGCACCCCTGTAAATAGGACAGAAATATATTGGCCAAGCTCATTTATAAGTTACAGACTCAGTTCTTTATTACAGAGTCCCGAGAGCCATGGAATTGGGGAATTGAAGAAATACAGAACAAAACCTCTGGCCCGGACTCAGGGCTTAGAATTCTGAGCAATTTGGATGCAATTGGGTCCGAGATTGGCACTATTTAGCCGTTTTGCAGAGGGTTGCATTTTCAAAATAGCTAGGCCTACTTTCTGGGCAGAGAAATTTCCTTCATTTTAGGGGTTGTCTGCTTTGGGTGAGAATTTCTCAAAACTTCATTGGTCAACTCACTAGAAATTGAAAGGAAAATGAAAGAGGATACGTTGAACATCATTTTCTGTGCAGCCTCAACACCTTTGAGAGTCGCATTTTAGGGACTTATCACTTGTGTCTATATGGGAATTTACTCATAGGGGTGCATCCCTAACCATGTGGAACAGAGCCGGGAAGATGGCTGCCGTACATAACTTCTACACTAGCTGCTCTGACCTCGACAGCACTGATACGGCACTTGTATCTTTCGAAGCTGAAGGTCAATTTAATCCAGAGCTGAGTTAAATGCCCGTTTGCTGTGTTCGTTTAATAAAACTTTCACATCCCATAGCTACCTCCACACAGTCGTTGGTCAAGGAATAAAACTCGCTCACTTTGGTGAGCAGGTGAGATTACAATGTCTAGTACCCAAATCACATTGCATACAGAACAAAATGGAAATCAGTAAGCTGTTCCCCGCCCCATGACACGTGGCAGCTAAGTCACCACGAGTTCAGAATTATGAGTTTCTCATTCTGACGTTTTCATGGTATACAATATACATGTATACCTCATTTCCGTGAATATAAGCGTCGTTCATTAAAAGACACGACTGATTTACGGAAACACGTCCCTGGACTCATTACTTTCACTGTATCAAATTAACTTATAGTACTAAAATAGAAATCTCAACAAACACATCTCGTATTTCCAATTCTATACATGGAATTGTCCTGAAGTGTAAATTATGACATTGTATGTGTTTAATTAAATCCGTACTGTGTTCAGAGCTTGTGAGGAAAAATCACAGGCTTGCGTTCATCCCGAGTTATTCTGAAGTGAATAAGTGATTTCTCCTGGAATAGACGTGTCGACACCCCACCCCGTTTTTTTTTAAAAGGACCCTGCAATTTTCGTTAAGCAGAAAATGCATTTACGCAAATGAGCCCTTAATAAATAGCGCTTTGAAAAAAATTGCAATTCAAGACACTCGCAGGCGATTTCAGGTTTACAAAGGACCAAAGCATTCCAACTGATTCCAACTCGATTCAATCAAGAGCTTTGCTTACCCTGGCTCACTTACCTCCGATCGAACGCTAGTCCTGCTGTATGCAGGTGCATGTATAGTCATTCAGACCCAGCCAGTGTAAACAACAGCCTCGCGGTTGTGGGTTTTGTTTTGGTTGTCTTGTTTCCGTCTCAGTGTACAGGATGAAGCCGTGAGAAACGTCCAATTGACATTCTCATTGCTTCATGGGACCGAATGACAAACAAGCCATGTATTTTATGCGCAAGCTTACTGTACAAGGGGAAGTGAACCAGTCAGCGATCAGTTCTATTTTTCTTCAGAATATTTCTCGAGTACCTGCTCATCGAATAGCAGATGCACGTATAACACATATAAAAAGATAATTACTGAGAAATATAAAAATAAAGTTAAAAAAAATAATGTGTCAGAGCTTACAGGGGAAATATTGGTGTAGGGGATCAAGACACCAGGCTAAAAACGAATGTGATTGGTCAATGCACAACCAATGAGATTTAAATCATGAGCCTGATTGGCAACTCCAATTCACTGGTATTTATCAATAAGTGTACGGCGATTACAGTCCAAGAGAAAAGCTAATGTTCAGGGATTTTTTTCTTCTGCTTGATTTCAAACTGATTTTTTTGGTAAAGACTACTGTTCCAAATGCTCAGTTCAAAAGTGTGAAAAGATGACTCGATTTCCAGTACATGTACTTCAAAATGTTGATACATACAATACATGGCATGTCAGTCATCCAATTCCAATGATGCTTTGCAAGGGTTTTGGGGCGTGATTATGACGGCACCCAAAAGCGGAGGCATTCTCAAATACCCGTAGAATGCAAAGTACGGCACGAAATAACCTGTCAACCAAACCCACGTCACTGGTCGGCTTTGCTGAAGCTGTTAGAAATGTGATTGTTGGTCATAGAATTTGTCACAACTATGAATTTTTTGGAAATGTAAGCAACCAACACTTTCTTTTCTGTCTTTCAATTACGCATTTGATTTCCCCATTCTAATAGTTCTGTTGATGATGATGAAACTACTACTTTGGTAGGATAAACCGAATAGAATGCTTATAACAATTAAGTCAGCCTAAAGAAACCACAGCAGATGGTAAACTAGACCTATATACTTTGGAAATAGCCCCTTTATAAGTTAAAAAATATTTGGTATTGAAAAATTGTTAAATAACAGAATGTAAACATGCCCCCTTTTGGCAAAATAGTTTTTAAGGCCGTATAAAAATAAGTTGTTGATCGTCCCCGCCCCACCAACAAAACGCCCCGACAACTTTCGTTTTCTTTTTTTTTAAATGCATAACAGTGTATATGGTGAAGATTCAGAGATCTTGAGAATTCACTTCTGGGTACAAAAGTATAATCCATGTACATGTATAAATAGAGGGAAAAATCCAAAGAGGAACCTATCTGGTATCTTCAGAAGTCTCTGTCCATGCTGAATTGCGGATCAAGTTGTGGTGCGGGCCCCGCGGCGTGCGCTAGAGTCATATCAAAATCAGAGACCTGTTCCGTTCACTTATAATCTGCTTACTGGTTGGTATCCTTTTTCGTGTTGTGCCGCATGCTTGGGCAGTCCTGCAGTGCTTGTATGTTATGGGTCCCATCAAAATATTTGATATCTGACATTGAAATCGCTTGTTGGTCTGTGTTTTGTGCAAGCTAAATGAAAACACTTCCATCTTTTGGTCAATAGCATTAAGTTTGATACTCCTCTTGCAAAAACTACTTTTGTTTGTTCACCGGGCTAGAAATTCCAAAGTCAGTGGATTCAAAATGAGGCAACTTGTAGACAAGGCTGAGGTTTGGCAATCGGCCGTGCAACACGTATGTGTAGGTAATGCATCAGACCCATTGGCTTCTTACAGAAAAATATCGGCAAGTGGAATCGATTGACATGGAGCCGTGACAAAAGCGAAATATATGAAAATGGAAGTTTAGTGATGCCATGAGGGAAAAACAGTCCAGTCGACCCAACTTTTTGGGAAAAAGGACGAGTAACAACTTTTTATGCGGCCTAGAACTGCGCTGCTACTTCCTGTCTCTGTGTATGTTTTTGCCAATTTTCCTAGCGACAGAGCCAATGCTATAAACAAATTTCCAGCAAGCAAAGAGCACCTCCATACCTTCTTGGTAGCTGCAATCAATTACAAACGCACTTAACATTCGGCAAGTTCGATCAAGGATCACCAGTTCACTACTGGTTAGTTGTGACGTACCTAGCGCATGTGCAGTGAAGTTGAAGTGCAAACGACCCTAGTCAACCGTTGTCAGGTCATTAGGCTGAAGGGAAGAAAAAGTGGTCGCAGGAAGGGCAAAACAGTAAAAATAAAAGTGAAAATGGTCGTTTACGATTGACATACTTTTTCCGGCATTTTTCTTATCGCTGGTCCTCTCTACGCTGTGCTATTAAAACGGTTTATGGCACCGAACGATGCGACCAACCAACCATCGTCGACTAGCGTACGTTCGATCTGAGTGAGTCGACCTATGGGTAACTTTGGTCCTTGATCGAACTTGCCCGAGTTGTGGATAAGCTTTGAAAATACAAAAAATTAACCCCCGTACTGACGGCTTGGCGTCAAAGGCATAAATACTAAACGAATCGCCGATGAACGCCTCCTGCAACACTTAAAAGTACTTTTTTCTCTAAGATTAAAGGTATTTTGTCATACTTCAGTTTAGCTTTCATTATCACGTGCACGGGCCAGCGTGCATCTGTAATACACCCCCCATATGCAGCTGATATAGGACGTCAAATTCCCAGTTGAAGTTGTGAACGCCCTTGGAGATTTTGAGCCTGTCGTAGTAATGGTAAGGCACTGGACGGTGCTTAGGGCCCTTTGCAAACGGCCAAAAGCCATAGAGTTCGATGGAATTGCACACGGACAGAGCCACTGACGCAAGATAAAACCCTGCAAGTGAAGAGAAAGTTGGGGTACAAGATAATTCAAACTGTGGCAATTACCATATAGCTAACAGTAACTCTGATAGAATAGTCTGTCATAAGCCAGGTTGGAGTTTAATATGTCGATCAGACCCTTCCTGTTTGTGTCTCAGATTGCAAGAATCTAATCACTCCGCCGTACTTGGAAAACAACCATTCTGGGACATGATTGTCCAAATTCTTGGACAGTTGCATGGCTTAAGTGGAAACCGGTCCGGGAAAACGATCTATACTTATTTTTTGAGGCATTTACTAAAATAAAACACCCTCTCTTGAAAAGAGCATTATGTAGTTAATGAACCACAGACAGATTCATGTTACATAGACAAATGAAGACTGTTACGCCCCGAGGTCCCAACAGGCTCACTTTAGTTACATGTATTAGCGTCCCTTTGCTAGGTATAACTTTCTACGATTGCCAGATGAAGCAACTCTGTGAAAGTAACCAAGGCATCAATCTGTACCTACGGGTGACCTGGTCCTTGATAAAGCAGCATTTACTAACCTGTTGTCATGCGACTTTTAAGACCCATCCGCCTCCACAAATCCTGCAGCCCCCTGAAGTGGTCCGGGTTAATGATCAGACCCCGCGTGGTGGATCTGTTCTGACGGAGAAGCCGCAAGGCTAGCATGCTAGTCCTGTACGCGGGCATATTCACACCATAGGCTGGGATAAGAAGATCTCCGTAGGCTTTCATATCTCTGAGGAACTTGGTTCTGTAGCCTATATCCTTAAGCCGTCTGTACCTGTTGAATTAAATGAGATAGGCTTTCCACGGTATAATCGATACCACCGATCAAAAAACTGTTTTGGGAGTACACATGCAATAAAACGAAACTTCTTGACCAGAAAGGTTATTTAAGCGTGACTGAAAATTGAATCAAGATGCGGCTTATACCGATTTGTGTTATTTGCTTAAAAGTGGTTTCGAAAATTTTCTAGGAAATTGTTAGGACCGGACATTTCCTAAACTCTCTCCAGACACGTATTTCAACAACAAGGAAACTCATTCCTTCAAACGAATTTTCGCTCAATTATTCTATTCCTCACCACACATGTCAGCTCCACCCCTTCCACATGATATACACTCAACTCCAAACCGTTTAAAGCCTCGAATAACACAAATATAATGCATGCCATTCCCAAAGGTACCAAAAGGAGAAACAAACAAAACACAAATGTTGACACTTACTTAACATCGATGACACCACCTGGATTAATGGAAGTCAAGCTGGACTTGGTTCCTGCATGTTTCTGATATCCTTTCAAAGGAGGTGTGTTGCATCTGCAATGTATGTAAAAAAAATTAGAACTGCTTGCCGCCTATGACAAAATTGCAACATTGCAAAAATGTTACCATGACAACGCATGACAAATGGAAAGGCAAGATGCTTATAATTATTTAAATGATATGCTGCTGACATTAACTACACGAACAACCAACCAAACAACTTAATTCATTCCATTGATCCTACGAGGTCAGTCAGATGACAGCACGGGCCTACACATGGACATGTACATTCTGAGCATGCACGACGATTCAGCACAGACCTCGTTTTTGTCGGCAGCTTTGTCCGCCATCTCGCTATTTTCGTAGCTCTTCAAAAATCATCATCCTGCGTTTTTTTCCGTGTTCGTGCAAAACCCTGTTCTGAGAATAGTGTTCCTAGGTCATGTTCCTGCCGTTCGAATGTCAGAACAAGAAACTCGTGTCAAGAATAGGCCACCCAAACTCGACCTTTCGGTATCTCATCTCATTTTTCCTGACTTCCAGCAGAAGGGTGTGTGCTCTGAAGCATTAAAATCTCCCTGGCATTTATTACAGTTAACGTTAGAATTAAACTTAAAAATACGCGTTTCAAATAGAAAAGAAAAATTACCTAAATACAAAGTCGGAACTGTCGATCTTCTTACCACAGTAACTATTTGCTAATATACCGCCATTCCCAATAACGCTACAGCGTTCCAATTTCACTTTGGCAAATGGAGATTCCTGAAAAAAATATACACGAGACGTGAATGGAAAAACAACATCATCTTGGCATAACGTTTCCCACCAATTAGTCTTATGTACATCATTACTGATCTGATCTCTACATGTACTTTTCAGCAAACCTCCTTTCTGGAAAATCTTTTCGGCGAGGTTTTGACTGGGACTTGCCGGTATCAAAGACTCAGATCAATCATTGCAAAGCGGAGATCCGCCACACTGGAGCGGTTTTTCCAATACGTTTTTCGTACGTCATTGAAGGCGACTACCTTATGCCCAACACACCATGCACACCGATTTCATTTCACGAGAAAATGTCGAATTCTGAAGAAAAAAGTTTCCTTACCTTTGGTAACATCTGATAAACCTCGTCCGTGAGGTTATGGATTAGGTCTGGGTTTATGGCAAATGTTAAATTCTGTCCAGGAACCGTGGAGTTCTTCGTTAAGACAGTAAATTCCTTGGCATTTACAATACTGTTGAGCTTACGTCTGGAAACATGGGACATAAACGAGGAGATGTTAAAATTTACGAAGCCATTTCAGTGCATTGTCGATCACCATGTTCTCTTTTGAAAGCATACTTTCCGCAATTTATTTGTGCGTTACAATGAAGATTTAAAATGGCACGATTACATACAGATAGATATGACATGTCCACTCGAATCAACGGCAAAAATCTAAGGGCAATTCTTCCAGTATTGTTTCCAAAACACAAAGATAAATAGCATGTATACCTAATAGATGCTTTGCGCGTTTCGTTGGAAGTCCAAGGCTTGGATAGATTAGCGATGACCCCGTCCAGGTTATACTGGGATGTGCCATTTGCTGGCGTGCTCCCCTCCGATTTCGCCCGGTTGTAGTTCTGCGCATGTTTGACGCTAAGGATGGGCTTCTTTGGCGCTCCACTTGTCGATTTTCTGTCCAAAGATTGTTTAACTCTTGTGAGGGCTGACGTTCTAGATTTCCTTTTCAAACGTATGCAAACTTTGAGCCTTTTGATTTCATCTTTGTTAATTAATAAGATTCTGAGTATAAGTAGCCTTTTATACATAACGCAGGGACAGAGTCACTGGATACACTATCACAACAGTTGTTGCATTAGTCAATGGGGATAGATGTACAAATACCTTTAATGTCTGATGAAAACAAAAACCTACTTTCCCCCTGCTGATCCCGTGTCCGCTCGACTCTCGTCTCGGAGGTGATCTCTGGTGCTATTCCTTGATCCCGCAAGGGCAACAAGCAACAGTTCCACCAAACACACAGCGAACAAAACCACGGCTATCAGTACCCGTAGACGGCTAAATCGTCGCATCGCTCAAAACCTAGTGTGGACAAGAGAGCAAACATGTACATGTAATTGCTGGATAAGCAGGCCAAAGCCTACGTGTCTTTCTCCGCCTTGACCTCGATGTGTTGAAACTTAATGCACGGTTTGCAATTTCATGCAGATGCCATGACGCCAAGTTCAAATCCTCACGTATGTGTATGGTTTGCCATTTGCCTTGGTAGCAGATCTCAACCACACAGATTACGTGTCATGACAAACGCTGGCGCATGACACTAAACCTTTACTACAGCGGCTCTGGATTTCACTATTGTTGGTGGCGCCCGCCTATAAAAAGCCCACTGCAGCCAATGAGAAAAGGCCAACTTAAGACATTATACACAGTATATTCGTACAAAGTGAAAACATCAAACGGTATCTTAGAATAATCTTCTAACTTTCTATTTTCGTTTGATTATATGTAAAAGCAATGTTATCCGACCAGCAAAGCATCCTCCGTGTAAACAGCGTCAACTCCAAAAAGAAAGTTAATGTGGCTAGTACCTCAAAGTCACGTGCAAGGTGTTGCATATTATCATTAAGCTCGAGTGTAATGTAGGTCTTATAGGCGCATCGTGGGTCGAAGAGTGCTTTCTTGGACAATGCACATCATATTTTTTCGAATAAGTTCAAATTTAGTAACTTTCCTCGAATATGAGACGTTATGGCACCCTTATTAAATTCTATGGTGCTCATTTCTTTTACCACTGGAGATAAGGTCGGTCGGTCGAAATAAAAATCCTTAAAAAAAATTCCACGTTGCTGATGTAGAGCTATGCACAAACTTCAGTGGGCCAAGGAAAGGTGCGGTATACCGAATGTTCATGCGAACGCCGACCGTCGCTGTTGGTCGTTTGCGAAATCGTAAGTTTTCAGGGCTTTTGCTTTCAAAGGTCAAGCTGGCCAATTTTTTTCCCTTCAGTTTTTTTTTTTTGGGGGGGGGCTTTTTTCCGTGATCGGGAGCCCAAAATAGGGTCGGTCGGAAATGAGAACCATAGAATGTAAAAAGGATGCCCCTATGTAAAAACAAAGAGAACTTGGTAAACTTCAACCCCAATTATAGCCTAGGGCGACATTGTACATGTATGTTGACATGACTATATGGCTTGTATCAACGCCCAAACGAAATGTACCAGCATGAAACTTTAACTTCCTCGTCCTCGATGTAATTATCATTACAATACACATTACCCTCGTTTGCCTCTCTCATAAAAGCCAGCCACGCGATGCAAGTATAGCTATGGAAACCTATAGGTTGATGCGATCACAGCGTTGATGATTCGGGTTTCCTTCAACCGACCGAAATTTATTATTACCAAATCCAATCTAAATTTTGCAAGCTCTTACACCTCCGCTTTTCTGACAGTAACAAGAACCTCCTTCAAGTCTTCTGTTCGAAATTGAGGAACCATTCTTGATTCAAATTTCTCTTTGAAATGTCACGCCTCCAACATCGGTAAAGAGCCTTACGTCGACATTAGCGGAGCCAGCAGAACACTGGTAGATTTCTTGTGCGATCTGATATTTAAAACAACTTATTCGTGCATTTATGACATGGTGTCCATTTTGTAATACACTACTTTGTGGATTGCTGAATTATATCTACCACTGGGAGGCCTCAGCAGATGCAAAATGCAGCAGCTGGAGTGATTATCGGACTCGTAAATATTATGATCATATTACACCGTGTATGATCATATTAGGATATGGACTTAGACTGGCTTCCTCTTCAACAAAAAATACAATTTATAAATGCCTGAACTTGTGTCAAGATGGGCCTACGCGTAAATAACAGTATCCAAAAAATCGTAAAATTCATTTCTGGATACGGGCGTTCCACAACAGTGCGCCTCCAAGAGTTTGCAGCGCGTTGACCAATCACCGTGCACGAAATCTGTCGACCCAATGCGCGTTGTTAAGCAATATATCGACAAGGGCGCATCGACAGATTCCGCTCGTTGTGACTGGTCAACGCGTTGCAGACTCTTTGAGGCACACTATTATGAATCGCCCGAATTGATTCAGAAAGATCCTCCGGAATATATAAGTCACCATTTTGTACGTAGTTCGACCCTTGATTTTTGAAATGTAATTTGGAAACGCAATTATTTGACGTCAACACCTCTTTTTGGTTTTTACTTCTATTATCGTTTCATATATTTCAAAGTTTAAATTCCCATGATACGCCTGTTTCTCTGTTGATTTGGCCTGTGAAAGTATATTCTATGATCAATTAATTTATGCATGCAGGTTTCGCCCAAAACACTATCAAACAAGCATGAAAAGTTTGAATGAAATCAAAATACGAATACATTTGGCAAAGGTATCCTAACCGCATCAGTACCATTCGAGAATTACTCACTAGTAAATGATCTCTTTAACATGCTCGTTATGATAATAAAACAGGGCAGGCTAATCAAGGGATTATGTAACTAGTGGAGTTTTTGCACAACAAGGAATAAATAATAATTAATTAATAACACTCTGGTTCTTTTAAAACACGCAAAGGGGTTTTTCCTATTAAAGGGGCTTGATTCTAGAACTTAGCTACGATTGTCTGATTTGTCCGCAGATGCTGGTTTTGGACAGTCACTACTTATAAATACATGTAGTAGGGGTCAAATAAATGAATTTCATAACTTCACTCCAACAGAGAATGGTTGTCTCGAGTGAGCACTGAAGTCTCACTTGTGAAGTGGATCGTGACGCGTAATAATTGGTAAATCTTTGACTACGCCTCGGCCCACAGGTACTTTATTGCCTATACAACAGTAGTATTTAACGTCTTCAATCCAGTCACGTCACCGTGAAAGGGGCTGATCCCAGCTGGGATATGTATGCTTCCTTCCTAAACTTAGTTTTGCTTATTGTTCAGGGTTGTACACTGGAACGCCAGGGAGCTTTTGTGATGGAAACAAGACATCTGATGGATTATTTTGTTAGTCAATGATCTTATGTAATTAAATACGCAGAAGCCATTTTAGAGCAGTGAAAATTGTTTTATTTCCTCTCTTCGTGGAAAACAAAATAATCATGATATTCTTGCAATCGGGGTTTCACAAGAATGCGAAACACATAAATATGAAGCCAGCGTTGAACTAAAGGTCATCCTGATGGTCATTAGCTAGCAAAAGTTTTTTTAACTGTGCAGAATTTAGTAGGGTTTAATGGTGTCGATAAAAATCAGTTTATGATATGTCGAGGAAAGATACTTCTAATGACGCTGTTGCATGAAATGGCTCAATATCTCTTAAAAAATTTTTTTGCACTTTTAGCTTTATCATGTGCGTCATTACAAACGTCCATTGCAAATATATATGTGGGGTATATCTTCAGGAAAACCCCTACAAAATATTTTCAACGGTTTATGGTGTACTCTATGTTGGCAACACGCGGTGCGGCGTCTCAATGTGAGACTACGGCATGCACAAGTATCGAACACTGGCTACGGCTCTCAGCTCCACCGCTGCTTCTTTTGATCATAATTCGAAGCCGTATCACAGGAGACAGAACCGGATTATGGTTATCCCTGTCATGCGCCGCCCCATTCAATACCATGTATTAACTAAATCGATACACCGACGGTGCTGGGTGAACATACGAGGGTAGAACGCGTAACCTCGTGCGCCACGTAGTTTTTTGGAAACCGAGTGCAGAAAACGCATACAGGATTTTCTTGGACAACTGGGGGCGCTATTGCTGCGCTATTCCGTGGATGTCACCCACAGAAGGCATGATTCAATTCAGTACATGAGTTTTTTTCTATTTAAAATGTTAACCCAGAATACTCACTAAAATAATTCTGAGACAAGGTTCGCTTACTTGCTTAGTGCTATGCAAAGAATCACCTTGGAAAAGAAAATTGAGGCCAGTAAAATCTTTCTTAAAAATACAGGGAGTTTTGTGTACAAATCAAAGTAACACTGAGGCTTTCTTCCTGGCATAACACATTTGTTCATGAATATGGAAATAGTAAACAGCATAAAAACCACAAAAACAGCAAACTTTTAAAATAGAGAACCAAAAGTTGATAATGAGGTCATCCAAGACACAAAGGTGTATTTTCATTAAAACAGTTAACATTAAAACAGTTTGAATTGCTTGACTTTTCATTTTGATTCTGAGCCTAGGACTGAAGCCAAGACGGTTTGAAACCTGAAGCCTAAGACTGCAAAGCCCGTGAATGATGTCCATGTACATGTATTTTCACTCTGCTGGAGTAAAGAGCAAGTGTGTAGAAACTGACACTACACATGCCGCATATAAAATGGGTACCAGATCATGCTCCTTTCCCCACTTACCATCATCTATGCATTGCTGCAGCACTAAAGTGTAGGACATCAACAGGTCATTTCACACACCAGTCTATTTTCTTGAGTTGCAAAGTTATAAGGCCAGCAAATGCAAATGTGCCCGAATTAACTAACGGCGCAGACTAAATTACATTTGCTTGCTGTCACATTCCCTGATATTGGAGCATTTTGAAGACCATGGACTCGAGGGTTTGCAAGAAAGGAAGGTTGGAAACCACCGAAATGACAACCACCAGCTTGATATCTGAGAAGCACTGGCAAACCGAGCGTTCCAAATGGCTCTATTTTGCAATGAAGTGTAGGAATTAGTTTTCAAAATGGCTTTAAAGGGTACAGTCCACTAATTCAAGCCCCATTGAAAACAGTGCAAAATCAGCACTGTTCAGGGCCCAATAACATGCATACCAACATCCCTGAGATTTCTGAAACAAAAATGAAATTATTGTCTACTAGTCCCTAATCTTTCAATTTCTTTTCAGTTTTTTGTGGGTTAACCAATTACTTTTTAACTATTCCCGCAAAACAAAATCACCCCCGAAAAGTGATTTTTCCGAAGTCTGATTGTAGCCATTTTTCAAGTGGCAACCTTCAACTTTCTCGGGCACCATTTTTCAAACATAGTTTTTAGCCATTCAGCTCTCATAGTATCATACTCATAGGGAAGTTCAAACTGACCCAGGGAGTTGATTCTGGCAAAGATTTACACAATCTCACCATTTTGGGGGCCAAATAAGCTCCTTTTTTCAAGAGATTCTGTGGGGGCACTTTTAATGCTCATGAGCTGGCCAGAAATTCTCACTTGAATTCGTGAATTACACCCTCGACATGCTCGAGCTCCACGACTATATTTAGAAGTGATACAGCCCACAGGATGTAGGGCCATGGAGGTAGAATCCTCCATGGTAGGGCGGTGGAACCATGGAGCTATAAAAAACAAAACTGGGAAAGAAAACAAAAGATGAGAATGAGCTTTTAACCAAAACATACCTTTCACTGCAGGTGCTAAGGCCGAGAACCTGAGCAATATGGTTGGCATTCTTCGTGGACTGCCTCTTGTAAAACCGACAATGGAAAGCCGCAGTTTAATTCAGTGCATATACAATCATCATGGAGGGAAACAGTGCAATGAACTGTCATGTGCGTTCACCTATAGGCCCTACGCTAATCTCACTAGAAGAGACACTTTAATCAATTTTACGATTCCATGCTAACACACAGTAGCCATATTCCCCAGCTCCTCAAAACCAGTGGTGAAGTTGATCTTGCGAAATCGTGACAGGTCAGTGATTTTGGATGTCACTGACGAATACAACTCAATGCAAATACAGAGCCTACCGTATGCAATACTGTGCATAGTGTGCGGTGCGGTGACAACAAAGGTACGGCTCACAATGTACATCGTCCAAAGGTCGAAGTGGGTTAGACTAACTTACCAGTCCTACATTATAAAATGTCCGTAGGCCTTGAGGGACGTTTTCAGTGTGTACAGCGCGCGTAGCCAAGGCATCCTTCGACTCGGAGTCAGCGTAGTGAACTAGGCCTATACAACTCAATAGGCCTTTGCTTCCAAAAGTGGAAGCTATGAATCCGTGGGAAAAAATATCCACCGTGGCTAATGGTGGCAGAGACTGAAAAATGATGACTGTGTACCCGTAAAATCACATCATATTAAAGAAGGCTACACTGACGTTCGATCGAGTCAAGGTGATGGTATTTTCTTCATTGCCACGATTGCGAGTTGACGTATCCGGTGCTAGACATGTTACTCCACCTTTGTGGGGCTGACAGATTCACAAGCGAAAACAAATGATCGTTTCAGGAAAAAGTGTTCACCCCCCCAATAAAAAAACCAGACCTCGATAGTATACCTATGAGGAATAAGAACAGAACAGGTAGACGCCACTGGAACACATTGGATTCATACGCGTATGTGTATGGGCCGGCCCAACCGATTGACGGCAACCTTGGCGTCTTGCTCGTGTCAACTAGCCCATGATTGTCGCGCTGACAGTGAGCATGAACGGATTATACAGGGGACAGCGGCTTGTATAAAAGATCAGTCCCTGTTTGTCCCAGATTTTAAAGATTGAAACACCTCAGTTATTCATTAAAACAACCACTAGAGTCCCTTTTTTCTTTTTCTCTTCTTTTTGATGAATATGTTACTATTAAGGTAAGAACGGTTGGGGAAGTGCTTTATCCGCAATGCTGCGACCGCCTCCGTATTCACACTAAAAGAAAATTGTGATGTGAGTAAATTACGTTTGCAAAAACAATCGGATCTATCCAGAATGACCCTGTTTTACTGCATACGTAATAGAAGCGAACTTTAAAAAACATTGTTGTAGAAAAACAATTACAAAGGGCGGGGCTCGGTGGTAGTGTAAATGGGGTGCATGGCTTATAGGAAAAGAACCATTACCCCCAACCCTAAGGGCTGGATAGCCTGACTCAGTTGACAAAACACGACGACTTATTCTGTGGTTTGTTACGCAACTGGAGTCGCATTTTGGAGTGTCGTTCAATACAGTGATGCCATGAGCACCCATGGATACCAATTTGTGCTCTACAGTACGTAGTACTGTTTGTGTGTGATTGCTAATGCAGAGAGGAAAAAGGAGTATGCTTTGCGCATTCTCGTCAAATGCTACGTTCTTCGATCTGCCGGTACAGCCCCTCGTACCCCCCCCCCGGTTGGTATTACTCGTTTTTCTGCTTCCCGTGCCGCGCCTTCCCTGGCCTTTTCACATGCAGCAAGTATGAGACGGAGAGAACCCCCCCCCTGCTTTGTGTTGGTCATTGTCTCGCAGGAATGTGGGGAATTCCTTTCAGACATCTGGGGGGGATGTGTTAAGTAACAATAGTCTGGAATGTGTATAGAGATTGGACATGTTGGGGGGGTACACCTCGGTCTCATTTCTTGCTGGGTGTACTATACATTTTTATTTTTTATATTAAATCCGTTCATCCAGCAGCGCATTTAGCGCCAATTACAGGATGAGGTGATAATTAAGAAGACAATGAATGGAGAAATGTTCAGTTTTAGAGGTGGGAGGAAATCCCAGAATGAATATTGGGAAAACCCTCGAAGTCAGACTGGGGACTGAAAACCCAATCCACATGCTGATCTAGGTGGGATTCGAACCCAGGTCGCAGAGGTGGAAGGCGAGGAACGAGCCACTGCACCAACCTGACTCTCCAGTGGCACGTACGTATGTAGTACCAGAGGGCGAAGAGTCCAGAACCAGTGGGACCAAATTTGTTTGGAGGAGCCAAAAACACAGCGTTTTTATGTCAAGTCTCTTCGCCAGGAGGGGCCGACACGACACGATTTTGGAAGGAAAGGATCCCAAATATACCCCAAATCATCTTTCTCTCCTTATCTTTCAAAAAAGGGTGAGGGCTTGACCGTGTAGCTCCCCCGCCCCCATTTTACTTTGGTTACACTCTATCGTTTATATCGGCGAATGCTTTCGAGTAAAGTTCATTACATTCGATTTGAGATTCTTAGAGGCTTTCTTGACTCCCTTTCAGTAATGTGTTTTCTTCGTTGTTTTAAGCATCCTTCTAGAAATGCAATATATTATTTTACTCTCGAGGGAAGAAAATAATGTGCCCTCCACGCTCGCTATTGAAAATTTTCCATGACGCATTAAAGCTGCGGCGCCCTCTATGGCTCGGTCAGGAGATGACCACATTAGGGGAGTCCCCACAGTGAGCAATCAACGCTCCAATTTAGTTGCGTTTCTGCCGAAAGGACATTTGCGTAGGTGACCTTGTGGCGCAGTTTGTGACATGTGACCCAGTCTAGCCTGACTCGTTTTTTGTCCGATGTTTTTTATTCTGAACATTGATTGCAGCTGATCCCATTCATGGCTTCGTCTGACCAGTCCCAGCAGACGTCTATTCACGTTCTCGCTCCCCCTATCAGATCTTTGAAGCAACAATCCAAGTTTCTGAACAAATTGTACCTCTATTTCCAGAAGACTAGCGCGAGTAGCAATGATATAAAGAATGTATCTATGCTGTCATCTGACGAGGAAGCCCTGCGGGTGAAAGTTAATTTCACTAAGCCATCAGGTAAGTTTAAGTATTGATTTCTAGACATGAACTTGTCGTCTGGCGTTGCGTGGGTCTTTTGATCCTGAGTTTCTGGATTGACCCAACTACCTGTATATATCTGTAGGCCTATATACATTTAAGCATAGCGTTACGAAATATGGTGACCCGGTGACTGAAATTCAAGCACATAATGCAAATTGTTCAAGCTGGACCTAAACAGAAAACGTTTAATTTCCTGCAGTGTTATTAAGCACATCTTCAAATATTTCAAGTGGTGAGAAAATCGTTCCTATTTTTATTCACACAATGTCCTTTACATGGATGTGTCATAGACACCCACGCATTCATCCCGGAAGTAACCATGTCACTGATCCACTGGGCATGCATTTATTCTGTAGTCAGTTTTACCATTCTTACTCTCTCGGAGTGATTGCAGTAGGCCTATATCCGAAAAAATCATTACCTAGCCTTTGACAATTAGGAACGGTATACTTTCTTGTGAATCGTGTCTCTTATTTCATGGTTGTGTGACCTCAGAATTCCCTTAAGTTATCAGAAGTGCAAACTTTCACCCGTGTTCAATATCGCATTACATAGTCTGTGTCGAAATCTTTACGCATAATGATACACAAAGTAGGCATTTTGCGCTAAAGTAGACGCAAGGGCAAATGCATATTAATCATAAACCATATTCTGTAAAAAAAAAGTGCAGTATCCTAATTCTCTTGCTCATTATTCTTAAGCGAACTTATCAGCATTGCACACCAAATATATAAACCGGGGCAATTATAATACAATCTTTATAAATAGCTAAATTCTTTTGACTTTACAAATATGATTTTTTATAATCTGCATTTTCTTTTCAGGTTAAGTTCAAATAATTATGTTGTTCTATTGGGCAAAGTGTTATACACGGTGCTATGAACAACTTGTTTGTTTGTTTGTTTGTTTTCCCATTTTCTTAGACGTTAAACACATATTGTCTCGTACACACCACAAGCTGGTTTGCAATGGAAAAACCATACCTCTTCATGTCGAGCCATTTCGTCCAACTAAAACTCCAGTTTCGACTGCACCACCTGTCAAATCGGATTCTGTTGTCAAGGTTCAAAGTTTGGTAGGTTTATTGTCCATAGAGCTTTCCGATGGAGGGCTGTATACTTTGACATACCGTTAAAGTCGATGGCTGCCAACAGCAATTATTGAAACATGAGCATTTTTGTCAATTTGGTTTGATTTCACATTACAAGCAAAAACTTTGCCTTGGGAAGGCGGATTATTCAACCAGCATTGACAACTGTGTGACTGTAAAATTGCCCACTGTCACCACTGCCTCTTAATTAAATGAGTTCGGTTGCGCGTTAATTCTGGTAAAATTTGATTTTGTGTTTGAACGAATTGCCGACGGTTGTTGACTGTTGCATCACCGGATATATGGACAAATGTTGTAAGCAATCATTGAACTGTTGCCGCATTTTAGAATACGGTAAATTGTTATATAAAATGCAATCTACGTACCTCCGTTAGCCGCCAACTTTCTTGATCTTTGACATTGGAAGGGTCTATGCAGTGTTCCTTTCATATGCCCCTTTGATTTTCTGTTGACCTGATTTTCAATTTTTGCTCCATTTTAAGGGTGTTTTGCATTGATTTGAACTATGGTAAAATGTCATAACCCAAGGCAGGATTCTCACTCTTAAATAGCAAAAATACTCTTGAAAAATGTAACCAGATTTTTTTTTTATTTTGCTGTTGTAAATTTTGTGTACTTAGGTGATTTACTGTTGTTGCCGTTCATGAGAATGAGTCAGTGAGTAAGGTTTTCTTACAAAATAATTTCAATTAGCAAATTTGAGATTCACAGCCCCCCCCAAAAAAAGTGTCTTCTTGTAAAGACATCAAGACAACAGTGCCCTCATTCCCATGAAAAACATGGGAGATGTTAAATGTTTAAAAAGTGCTCTTTTTACATTTACAAAACACACACATGTCAGATATATAGTTTGCTTACATTTAAGTGGAGCATAAAGTTACACTAAACGTATTCCCCAAAATATCCTTTAACGTTACTCATTCCAGCATGCAAATATATAGGGCGATGTACGGTAACTGTTTCCACGAGATAGCCATTTTTTTCCTGATGTGTAAGAGGTGCGCTGAAGTGGTGACCGGGTAAAGTTCAACTGTATCACTCAGGATAACTCAAGTTCAAGTTCCGGGTAGAGCATTTTGTGAACTCAGGTCATGCATGTATTATGAGACTGGGCTTGAGCAAAATTGACACAAATATACACACACACACCCCCACAGTCAAATTCGCTTCACTGTCACATTTGCATGGAGAATAAACTGGACGGTATATCGCTTCATTCTTTTTCCTAAGGATGAACCACATTTTGGAGTTCACATGGTTGAAGTAGTAAGAAAGTGACATAAATGGCTGCTTGGCTGATTTTTAGTCAAATCTTGTAAAGTCTTTAAGACTTTATAGCGTTATAGCGGGCTCATTTCTTACCCAGCCGAAATGAGTAATTACTCAAGCTTTCATCGTGTGTTATGCAGTGATAAAGACTTGAGTCCTTATTTTTGCGGTCACCAAGAATTTGTTTAGGAATGTTGATCAATCAATGATTAATTAATGCTGTCATTAGTATGGTTATTAAAAACGTCAGCTAATAATTCCCAATCCGATTCTGTTATGGCAATTAATTGTGAACATTTATGATTTCTATACGTCCAGGACAGTTTAAAGATACATGACAGTGATTCTGACGCAAGCAAAGGCAGCACGGGTCATACCAATGGTCAATCTCTGGCAGCCGGGTGTGGGGAGAACCCACTAAGCAAGCCAACTTCCAGAATGACGCAGGTTAGCTGTAATGAAGGAGTGCTGCAAACATCCGGTCTCTACACCCCAGTATGCTTCGAAAAGATTGCGACCCCTGCTTGTTTAGCACTCTCGGATACCTCTCCATCTGCGAGTTCTGTCACTACACCGTCGCCTGTGACTCAGTTGACAGTTCATACGTCTACAGTGTCTCAACTAACGTCACCTCTCCCTGCCGTGCCTCCAGATATATCTCCTGCAGGGCCGCCTTCTGCAACTGTTGCACCTCCGACTACGGTCAATGTAACTGCCCCTTCGTCTACGCCACCTCTGGCAATGCGGACACCTATTACGTCTCAAGTCACATCTACTCTGCCAGCCGTGTCTTCAAATGCATATCCCGCAGCACCTCCTGCGACTGTGGCGCCTCCAAATACGGTCTCAATAATTGCCCCTCAGTCTACAACATCTGTGAAAGAGTGTGCACCTATCATATCTCAAGTCACACCACCTGTATCCTCTGCATTGCCTTCCCCTACGTTTATTGCACCTCAGACTATGTCCTCCGAGCTCGCATCTCCGTCAAACAGGACGGGACCTCTAACAGCGAGTGCGCCTATGGCTCAGCTAGCATCACAGTCGACTACCATGCCTGGAAATCCATCGCCTGTACAAGAAGTGCCCTCTTCTACCGCTGTGCATTCAACTGGAGCGTCTCCAATTGCACCTCACTCCACAACGCCCTTCCCAATGCATACATCTATAGTGTCTCAATTAACATCATTTCTCCCTGCTGCGCCTCCAGATGCATCACCGACATTGTCTCCTTCTACACCTGCTGCACCTCCATCCTTCGTCTCTGTGATTGCTCCGCCGTGCTTCGCTCCTGTCACCACTGTGCCCTCAAATTCATCTGTTGTGTTACATCCCTCTTCGCCTATTGCACCTCCAACGGTGGCCTCCTTAATTGCGCCTGCCCCTACAAGTCCTCTGACAGTGAGTGCACCTATGATGCTCGAACCAGCATTACCTCTTCTTACCACGCCTCAAAATCCACCGCCTGCAGTGCATTCCCCCATGCCTATTGCGCCTCCATTTACGGCCTCTCGTATTCCTCCGTTCATCCCACCTCTGGAAGTGTCTGCACGCATGGCGTCTGAACCAGTTTCGCCCTCCACTTCCTTGCCTCTGCATGAATCTCCTGCAGTATCTTCACCCACACCTGTTGCCCCTCCACATGTACCCGCTCTCGTGAACTCTCCAAATGTAGATCCCACGATGCATCCAAGTTCAATCGATGGAACCACTACAGTGGTACGTTTTAACAGGTTTTTCAGCACACTTTATTTTTTTCGTGTAAATTCATGAACTTTTAATTTCAAATTGGTCTCTAAAATTTATGAACTTTCAATCCCATCTTATTTGTTTGTGGTTGCTCATTTTGCACATTGTCTCAAAATTTCAAACATGCCTACCATACTTTTTGGTGAAAGACATTTCGATTTTGTCCGTCGTACTTGACAAAACATGTCATTTTGTAAACAATGCTCGACGAATTTCATTCAAATTGTTACATGAATGTATTCTTTATGTTTATCTTTCTGTGGGTTTATGTATCATTGAAACATTTATATTTGCGTGTAAGTTTAGTACTTTCATTGTTTAACATTGTTTGGGCGCTCGTAATCTTTTTTCATGTGACATTTTTCCTGATGCATTTTTGTCCGTACAGGCTGGGTCAAGTGTGCAGGATTTCCAGACCGAAATGCTTGACATGTTGACCTCCGTTCTCCAAAACACCCCAAGTCGTGATGTGTGTGTGGAAAGCAGTGACATGGCAGCTAACCTAGAAAATCGAATATCTACCCAAAGTGTCCCCTACAACAGAGGTGGGTGGTCCATGGGACATTTTGGCTATCCACCACCTTATCAGCATCCGTCAGAAATGACCTATACTGTGAATATCACGAAGGAGGTGGCTCGTGTGGAGACCGGAATTTGGGGTAACCCATATTCTCCACCTGTATCCTATATTCCACCAGGCTCCCCATTCCCAGGCCTTGGCTTAGAGGCGGCTGTTGGAAGTTTCATAGACCCTCACCAATTTTACCAAGATGGTATGCAGCCCTTTAATGAAACCGGACAACCCTTAGAGGCGGCTGTTGGAAGTTTCATAGACCCTCACCAATTTTACCAAGATGGTATGCAGCCCTTTAATGAAACCGGACAACCCCTGGGAGCGCCGGCGCATCATTTCGGGTACAGAATGCCAGCTTGGGACCCACATACCCCTGCCTTAATGCCTGCAAATGAAAACTTTCCGGAGCACGCGCCTCAGATGGTGTCAACCGACGGGTTTCGAGATTTTACGACTCATGCAACTCCTGCATACGAAAATAACACCGTGCTTCAGGCAGAGGGTGAAAAGCAACAGGTATATCATGACTTTGCATTCTGTAAACAGAATGCAGAGCTCTTGCATATATGGCATAAAATTGTAACTTTTGAAAATTATGTGTATTTAAGGCGCCCTCTATATGTTTAAAAAGAGGCGATTGCCTCATGTATTTCGATAATCTGAAGGACGAGGCATGATGACAATTTGTAATCATGTCGAAGGGTAAGACAGCCATTTATGGACGACTGCTTTTACTGAGTATCATTGGAAAATCAAACTATTTTACCAATAAAGGGATACTTTCAGTGGGAAAGGCAGGTTTGTTCATTTTCGTCTGACTTAATTTCAAAGTAAACTTACAAGATAGCCTAGATAGATCATATCGTCGTCTCAGTTCCAAAACGTCATTACGGAAAAAATGTGATTTTGAGAATACTTGTCGGGCCTTACTCTTAGCATGAAAGAAATATTTGATTGAAACAGACAAAATTTGTTTAAAAATTTTATTTATAAAGCTACTGTTTTGGTCCAGCATATTTAAATTTCAACCAGTATGGCATTTTTTCACCGGGACAATTTGTTGCCAAAGTCAACATTCTTGACAGACAGATTTATTTTCTAGCATGACGTCATCGAGTTTCATCCTTGCTTCATTGCCTCGTCAGGATGACCACGCTGAATTGGAAGAGGAAGAGGTGGAAAAGTTGGTCGAAGTGACGGATTTCAAACCCACGACCTCGGAGGAAATGCTGCGGTTGTATTTTGAGAATCCTCGTAAGTCCAGAGGAGGAGACATTGAAGCCTGGGAGAAGGACATCAAATCCGGAGCCATCCGAATCAAGTACAGTGATCCATCAGGTAAGCACAGAAATCTGCCAGGTTACCACACTGACGCGTCTGTCTCTATTATGGATAGGAAACATGCTATCTGTGCAAACAGACCTTTGCGGAGACCTCTGATCAACTACTGCATATTCTCACTGTGGATTTAGCAATAGATGCTCATCACGTATGTTGATTTAACCACAAACTTGGAAAATTTCAATATGATTTAACTCATGACAAAGTATAGCTTAAGAGATCAGTGATTTCATTGTACAAGTGGCAAACCTAATGTATGTATAAACTGATTGTCAGTCTCACGGAAATCGTCAGTATGTGGTTGAAGCTACACATACCTAATGGGGCTACATAATTTGTTATGCTTTTTCTGATGTGCAGCAACTATTTTATGAAACAGATACTATCGGACGAAACACCAAAAATCGGGCAAGGTCACCCTGAAGTTACATCTCGATGTCCCATACCCCACCCATGTATCGGTCGATTGAGGATTCTGATCCTTGGGTGTAATTTTTATTTAGTTGCAAAAGCAGTGACAGAGAGAGCTCACAAAGTCGAACGCTGCAATCTGTCAGTGAGGCTGATTGTGAAGAAGAAACCTCGCCCCCGTCCAGTCAAGAAGCGATGCCTGTTTCTGAGCGGTATCCCAGACGAATGCAGTTTGGAACATCTGTCGCTTTACCTTGAGAACTGCTCTGGTATGGATGAACCTAGAATTCAGTACGGTGAGATGCCCGGCACAGCGCTGTGTACATTTCCACAGGACATTCCAGGTAACTATTTGTAAATTAGCCTACTCAGAATTATCTGTTATTAACGCCGAAAGATTTTGATGCATTATTCAACATGGACACAAATACCAATCAGTTAGTGTAAAATTGATTACAATGCCCTCTTAGATTCCTTGAATATGCATAAAATACCACTTTACTGACTTCCATCACTCATAACATAGTAACCAGAGCAAAGTCTTACTTTCTGCTTCTGTGTAACATAGACTTCCAAAAGGTCATAAAGAAAATTTCTTCGAAGAAGCTGCAGAAAGCCCAAGTGACGGCAGAGGTGGTGCTCGAGTCTGATTGTATCCTTGTGCAAGGTGGTATACGTTTTCTTTCAAAAAATTCCCATATTCTCTGGAAACAACCAGTAGCATAATTGTGATTGGAAAATTGCCACCCAACCCCGCCTACCTCAGGGCCTGTCATGAGTGGTCGAGATATATGCATTTTTCTGCATTTCCTGTTTGGTATTAACTTTTGCGGAAATTTGCTTGCTCCCTGACGATTCGACCCCAATTATCGTTTGCTCCTAAAACATCTTTCATCTGCAAACGAGGGAATCTTTACCGAGCGTGCACACTATGAAGATCACTTATGTTTTTCACTTTTACCCATGAAAAAGAGTATGGTGGTCCAGAGGCGGAAGGAAATTTGTCATAATCCACGACGCAAACGCGTGATGCTCAATCTTTTACCTCTGAACCATTTTCATTTAGAACACTCCGCAGGTTTTCCCACTTCGAATATACGTAAAAAAAGTGCAAAAGATAATGTACACCACCAATTTCATTGTCTTCACAGCAAATTATTTTTCTTTTAAACGAGAACTAATATTTTCTTGTTTGATCGTTTCCTTTGAGGATTGACGAAAGAAGTGTCTTTGGAATTAATCGAGTTATATTTTGACAACAAGAAAAGCGGCGGCGGTGGCGTAAAAAAAGTGCTACAAGTAAACGCAAAAGACAAGGCCATTGTCTACTTTGAAGACTGGAACGGTATGTAACTAGTAAAGAGAATTTTTGCGAAATGCTTTTTTTTTTCAATTTGCTTCAAAATACTGAGTAAAAACAGCATGAACAAATATAACCATTTAGATGTTTACTTGAGAGAATGTGTTGGAAAGCCTTCCACTTTTGAAAAGGACAAATTTATGACTGTGTTGTTTTGAATGTTACTTATGTCAACCGTCAGTCGATTTCCTTGGAAATGAATGTCAAATGTTAAAGAATTTGTTGTAATTTTTTTCCTAGTTGTGGGTGAGGTATTGTCAAGGAAAGAACCTCACAAGGTGAGCAACACTCTACTGACAGTTGAAGAATACCATGACTGCTTGGGGAGACTTACTTCATTAGATGCCCCAACTCCACACATTCCGAAGCCGATCTCTGTGATGGTACCAATAAACATCATGGAATTCATCTACAGAAAGGGCCAAGAAACAAAGAAGAAGTTGGTTGAGGAGTTGAGGAAGGTGAATGCCAGTCTTACCTGGCCTGATGGTGACAAGAAGATGGCTGCTAGACTGGAGCCCCTGGTTGGAGACGGGCAGCCTCCGTCAGTCTGGATCAACTGGTCTCAATTATGTAGGGAAGCTTTGGCTAGCTTCTTGGATGGATGCATGTCGAAGACAGTTCCTGTACCCACTTTACTGTGGAAAGAAGCAACCGCAAAACTGGCAAAGATCAGTACTTCTCAGACCTGCTCAGTTGTCCTGGATAGTCCGACTCATTCAGTGCGTCTTGTGGGAGAGAAGCGAGGCGTTGACGAGGTAGTAACAGACATCAAACAGGTCATCAAGGAGCTGCAGGCTAAGGCTTATCGTGATGCCCAACAGACGAAACAGGAGATAGGCTTGACGGTTCACAAGGTCAAGCTCCTCGTGCAATGTGGTGTTCGTCAAAGGATGGAACAGAGGTTCCCAGACCTGAAAATCACGGTTAAGTCAACGCAAGGAAAAGAGGCAATTACTTTGGAAGGAAAGAACAAGAATGTGAAGGAAGCAAATTTACTGATGCAAAAATGGATGAACGAACTGAGCAGTGTGGAATTTAAGACAGGGAAGACCAAAACGGAGTTCGTTCGCAATGTGAACGACAAAGTTCATGAGATTTGGAGAAAGCAGAGAATCAGTGCTGCATGCGACATTTCTGAGGACAAGAAGATTACAGTCTATGGTGCCACCCGAGAAGATACCCACCAGGCTAAAAAATTCATTGAAGATAGGATACAAGATGATACGATTTCTATCAACGGGCGAGCTGTGGCAGTTGCTCTAAAATGTCAGAGTGGACTTCAGCTCATTGATGGCATTAACCAGAAGAAATTGGCTGTGGTTAATGTCAATTATGAATCAGGTAATTACTGGAACCGTATAACTGGCCCTATTATTGATTTGTAGATATTCGTATTTAAATGAAAGACATCAACATTTGCATGATGTGATTATATTATGACAATAAAATTTTGGACAATATTGCTTGTTCTGCAGGATGTTTAGAGCTTGCTGGGTTCCGGAACGAGTTGAAAGAAACCAAGCAGTGCATTCTATCATTCTTTAAGGACACTGTTAGAATGAAGGACGCCATTCGCACCAGCAGAAGTAAAGTTCGTCTGATCGACTCATTCCACAGGCATGAAGTAACCAATTTTACCGCAAAGCGCCGTAAAGATGACGTCATCATCAGGCCACAAATGAGTGGACCCAGCAAGGGGTTCCTCTTGGAGAGTAACGAGACAGGCCTTGATGCTGCAAGAAAATTTATCACGCAGCTCCTGGCGAAGATCAAGGAGAAACGCTATCCCGTTTCCAAGATCGGAATGGCCCAGCTCTTCCGGGAAACGAAGGGAAAGAACTTTCTGAAATCTGTGGAGAAGAAGCTCAAGTGTGTGATCGATATAGTCGGCGATGAAGAGGATGACATCGAGGAAGGCAGCAATGCAAGTCAATCTCCAGGAACCACCGAGGTACTGTGCAAGATAACTCTTCCTGACGGCTGCACTTTGAGAGTGTGCAAAGGTGACTTGACGAAGCAGATTGTAGACTGCATCGTGAATGCTGCAAATGAAGATCTTAAACACATTGGGGGCTTAGCAGGTGCCATCCTTCAGGCTGGTATGTAGACAGACCGTGTTAAGGAAATATTGTGTTTCATGTTATGTCTTTCAGGGATCTGGGCTTATCATTAAAAGCTGTTTTTCTAAAATGTACATGCACAGGGTTTGTTATACGGAGCGATGACTTTTTTAAATGAAGGCCGAATAGGAACAAGAAATTACATTTTCTTCAGAACAAACATTTCTTAAAAAGGCAACCCACACATAGTCGTATTACTTGTAAAACTTTTGTTCAAAATGCATCATTTATCGATTTTCTTTTTAAATTTCCTTTCTTTAGGTGGAAAAATAATTCAGACTGAGTCAAATCAGATACTGAAGCACAAGGGTCGTCGGTTGTCTGTTGGGGAACCCGTTTGCACTTCCAGTGGCAAGCTGCCCTGCAAGAAAGTCATCCACGTGGCAGGACCGAGATGGTCGCAGTGGCCGAAGAGAAACACGCCAGAACCACGCAACGAACCAACCAACGAAGAGAGTCTCCTCTTTCGTGGCGTCTTGGCTTGCCTTAAGTTGGCGGATGAGCTGGGATTCCAGTCCATTGCCATACCTGCAATTAGCACTGGAGTGTTTGGCTTCCCCGTCCATCTTGCTGCAGTGCAGATTGTCGACGCAGTTGCAGAGTTTTGTCAAAAGAAGCCAAACACCAGTCTGACAGAGATAAGTCTTACCAACCACGACCAGCCAACCTGTAATGCGATGAGAAGAGTCGTAATGGATAAGTGTGGGCATCTTTTCAAAACAGAACCTACTCCTGATAATGTAACAGGTGAAACTGTCAAATAATCAAGTCGGAAGAAAAATTGTAAACTTAACTCGTACATGTATATCTCTTTCCATCATCCAGTGTAATTTGTATCCTAACATACCCAGCAAGATATGGGACGAAGGGTACCCACCCCCAAATGTCCAACCCGAGAGTATGGTTACCTAACGCATCCCCCTAGATGTCTGTGAAGAATTCCTGAGATTCCGCTCAAACAATGACCAACACAAGGAAAGGGGGATGCTCTCCATACCATATCTTGCGGCATATGTATCCTAAGCCTGTTTCGGAAAAAAGACAACACTTTTTGTCGTCTTTGTTGTGTAAAAACTCTACAGGTGCTCGAGATGCGTCAACATCCACTGATGAAACAGCTGCGGGAACAATGTTATTTACTTCAACCGGACCAAACATCCTGAAGACAAGGGAAGGCGTCACCGTTACAATGAAAAAAGGAAGCATCACAGAAGAACAGGTAAAAGCCAAGTAAGCCCTGATGGTTAGTAGATACACTTTAAGTCCCCAGCAAACGACATCAGCTTCTTCAGATATTTTTAAACTTTTGCAAATTATTTTTAGGGTTTCTTTCCATTCAATGCAAGTTTATTAAAGTAAAGTCGTAAGAATATATCCGTATGTCCCACTTAGCCTTGTTAACTTTTAATTTTAATTTGTTTTATTTCAAACGCTTTTGACTTTTATTCTAATGCAGATTTCCGGGTGGAAAGCCCCACTGTTGCATGGATTTGTTTTAAAAAAAGAAAACTGTTATGATGTACTGTTGTAGAATGCCTTTTTCTAAGTGATGTTGTTATTAGTACACGATGGTAAGCCAACCAGCAACCCCTCCCAGCAATGTTTCAATAAGAAAATTTTGGTTTCACAATTGCAACAGAAAGACGGATGCACTGAATAGTGCTGAATTGCATTACAGCAACAGTGCCTTCAGTTGTAAGGAAAAGCACCGACTATTTAGTTTCAATAAAAAAAACCTTTCAATACACCTATACCCTAAAGGGATGCCCCAAAGGGATGCAAGATGGTGTTTATACACCGAAGAGGAATGCATAATTCCACAAAATGAACCCTTTATCGAATGAACCTTTTATCGAAGTAAACCAATTGTAATGTGTATTTGAATTTAACAATGATAATTGAAGAGCAGTGTCATTCAATGGGGACAGAACTTCAATTTTTCGTATAGATTTAGTATTCTTTTTTGCAAGGAGCTGGTAATAATTCAAGGTATATAATTATACAGTTACTTTTCAATGGAAAATGAAATGTTTTCATAACATTTTCTTTGAACACTTCGCAGGCTGATGTAATCGTGAACTCATCGGCCAATAGTTTAAACCTGGATGCTGGCTTGGTGTCACGGGCCATATTGGAAGCTGCTGGGCCAGATCTGCAACGAGAATGCAATGAGGTAATAGCAGCTCGTGGCAATATATCAGCAGGTTCCTTCGTGGAAACTGGATCAGCCGCTTTGTCCTATTGCAAGAAAATCTTTCACTGTGTCTTAGACGGATACCACTCAAACACGTCAGGAAAGGTAAGAGCTGACTGAGAAAATAATTCCACATGGTAACTAAGCTGATGAAAAGGAATAAAATATTGCGTTTTTGGATGTGACGACTAGAGAGATTTACTAAGTATGCTGAATACATATAGCTTTCGTTGTTTTGTTTTTTATACAAAATGCTATATTTTTTCATTTCCTTTTCTATTCAGTAGATTGGAATCAATTTTTCCTGGAAATGTATAAAGATACAAATGAACAGGAAGAGGTTTAGCACATTGTAATATCGCAACAGTTTAGCATAGCAGATGCTAACTGAGACTTTACCGATCATGTAATGGTAGTTTTGGACTTCAACAGCCAAATCAATTTTAGATATCAGGCTCTTTTAAGTTTATAGTAAAAAAAATTAAGGATAACCTTTTTATTTCAAAGAAAAAAGTCCTATGGATTTTTTTATCCTTATGTTTAGGGTTGTAACGTAAATACATGAGTAGATTTTGATGCTTGAAAAATGTATATGCTCCATTTATTCATATACGGAAGTAACTGGCTTTTGCCAACTACATTTACTCACGTTAGTTAATCTACAAAATTGTTATCACACAAGATGAATAGTCGGTACGAAATTAGTTGAGAAGTGATCAGTAATAATAATAAAGCGTGAGCAATACCTAATATTGTTACTGAGATCCCACTCTATGTGAGTTGTGCATTAATATCTACTTCCCGTACAACTCATCGGAGAGAACTATGGTCCTTAGTTGAGTTTGGCAGCAGACTTCCTCTTGCACGAGTTTTTGTTTATTTGGCCAATGAACTGCTGCGATTCTCATTACAGTCCTTAGCGACCCTCGTCCAAAGTTTACTGAAGCAAGCCGAAACCCTGAAAATGGTTTCCATGGCAATACCAGCACTTGGCACAGGCAACCTAAACTACCCACCTGATGTCACTGCTCGGGTCATGTACGAAGCAGTCGTAACATTCAGTAGCCAACATCCAAATGCTGTTCTGAAAGACATCCGATTCGTCGTGTACGACAAAGATACGAAGACCATTAAGGTATAATATCAGAGAGTACCTTCTGTATTACGTGTATACGACCGCAGTTATTTCGATTAAACCAGCTTCGAATGGTTAGAGAACGTTGCTGAAGAGACATGAGTACGGCCATCTTGAGAGCAAATTAAAGGAGCTGTTCATCCATTGCACTACAAGTTTCTAATTAGTTAACATGCGTTGCTATGCTTATGGTGTCAAATTGCAACGAAAGAAAGAATGTTTCCAGAAAATCGTCCTTTGACACTAAATTGGTTTTTTCTTCATCCTAGGGTTTTGAGGATGAAATCGAACGCCTTACCTCAGGGGCAGTGAGAGGAGCAGCTGCACCTGCCTTCACTCAGAGGAGATTGAAAAAAGCAGTCTCGACATCAGCCCGTAATTGTCGTTAAATATTAGTCTCATAAAAAACGTCTTGTACTAATCAAAACGTCTTCCTGCAAAACCATTCCCCTTTTTTCACATGAGGGAAAAGTTCAGATGTTGGCAAGGCAGGGTTTGTTCAGTTTAATTCCATACTGGACATAAATTTAAGACCCCTGTATTTTAACAAAAGGAAAACTGCAGCATTTATTTGAATGACAGAGGATTCAATGGAAGTTTCATCCCAAGTTAATGAACCCTTGTGTTTGTTGGTCTGTCCTTACATGTCTCCCACTGCAACTCATCTTGAAAACTGGCGCGAACTTAAAGTCATCAGCCCAACTATAAAGGGAAATGCTTGCAGTTGGAATGCTCTGTAAGCCAAACATCGTGTCTACTAATCTTGGTGCATTGTTCACGACATGTTTCGAGCTGTTTACCTCAGGGTAGGCAACAATCGCATTTACGTTTATTCTTGTTCAATCTTAGTTGAGAAGCGAAATTCGCTCTCTCCGATGATCCGGGACTCGACCGGGGTATTACACAGCAAGATCGGGCCGGTATGTCTGCAGGTCTGCCAAGGGGATCTGGTAAATGAAACAAGTCAGGCCATCGTGAACAGCGTTGGACAAAAACTGGGTCTTCAAGGTTTGTCATAAGATATTTAAGTAAGAACGATACAGTGCCACAGCACTTATAACAGCTTGCCCATTGGACTACACTGCGGGAAAACACTGTCAGAAGCGTTTAAGCAGTAACCCAACTTAGTAGCCACTGATATTTTTACAACAATCTGTGTTGCCAATTTGCCTCCGTCAACTCCGTCAAATTAAGTTATGATTGATTTCATCATTATTTGCCACTTTTTTTTTAAATTGAAAGTAAACTCGTTAGGCTGAAAAGACCCGATGCCTAAAAAAGGTGGTCAGCAGTATACTCCGTTCGTCTTCGCCACTCTATGGTGAAAGCTGGAAAAAATACGTCATTCTTTTTTCACGGAGAAGAGCTCATTTTCTGCGGCACCTTTCACTGAATTAGTCCCTGTTGATCACCATCCAGTTTGGAAGTTCCCTTTTTACCTGTGGAAGAGATGCGCTCTGAATTATTCAACATATTTTTGCAAATAATGGGAGAAAAGCTATCATATCTTGTTTGTTATTTGTTGGCACTATTATACAGTATTTCTCGTCCCTCCAGTAGTAGAAATTGCCACATTTTCAAAGATGAGATAACAATTGGGGAAACTAGTTTGCCCAGCCTTTGCTTCAAAGCAGCGTTTTTACTGTGTGTATGGCATCATTATATAGGAATCGCAGTGGCGGTCAATTCACATGGGAATTGCATGAGCTTGAGAAACGGCCCAGTTTATGGCCAAGTCATGGTAATCACCATGGGCGTGAATCCGGGAGATGTGTATTTATCCCCCACTTTTTGGGACTAGTGAATCCTCCCCCCCCCCCCACTTTTTTGTGGTGAGCACAAAATTTAAACGGATTGTGAAGAGTTTTCAGAGTTTCGGCGAAAGACTCTTAACATTCATTATCACTCAAAAAGGGACTAGTTGTTGAAATGCCATAAATATGCCATTCTGAATGCATAAAACAGATATAAATCCATATCGTGAACATCGACCTCTATCTATGTAGAATCATATGGTGTCCCCCCCCACCTTTCCCAAAATCCCATCCCCCAATTTCCGGCACAGATATAAGCCGCTGATAATCACCCTCACTGCTTTCCGTTTCATTTCTGTTAAGTCAACTAAAGAGTTTCAGTAAAAATCACGCTGGGTTACTGTAACCATACCGTTTACAGGTCCTGTGTCTACCGCTCTCTTGGCTGCTGGAGGTGATAAGATCAGGGAGGAATGTGATGCTCACCGCGCTAAGGGTAGGTGTATTTGTTAAAATGTTTTATCTTATAACTCGGATCAGGTGAAGGGTGTGTGCTTGTAGTATTCTCATAAAATTGATTGATAGATCTTCTTGTGGACTCTTTTCACTGCATTACATGTACATATTGAAATGGTTTCACTTAGCACCACGTTTTATTTTGGCAGACAAAAAAAAATCATGCTATTGAAGAGATTTGTTTTTACCCGTACTTTCTCCTGTAGATCCGACAAAAAAACTGCATGTCACCAGTGCTGGTGAATTACCCTGTGATCTCATTTTCCATGTTGTTACTCCCACAACTCCTGCGGAAGTTAAGGATGCCGTGGCCAAGACGCTACATGAAGCAGAAGAAAGAAAAGTGAAATCTATCTCTTTCCCTGCGCTGGGAACAGGTACAATTGGGCTATTCTTTTCGTGTGGATGGAATGAGCTGTCAGTGCTTTGCATTAATCAAACAGACGACGGTAGTTGATCATTCATATCCGCAGGTGTCCTCGCTAAGCTTTATATTTGTTTACTATTTTGCCAATGCCGTAAAAAACTGTTGGTTATTCAGGAAACATCCAACTACCTTTTTTTACAAAATTTAAATCACACTTCAAGGAGTTATAAGTAAACTTGAAAGGAAGCTGGATTCATATGCCAAACAACCGGGCCAAGTATTACTTCCTTCGTTTTTTTTATTTTGCCTTTTGTACCGATATGTATATTTTGTTTACACTTCAACGGAAGATTGGTTCTACATACTATTCGAATCATTTGATACACTAGAAGGTCAGATATTCATTATATTCAGTAATTTGAGCTGATTTGGCGCAAACAGTACTGCTGAAGAATGAGAAATAGCTTTATGGGTTCCCGAGTCACAGAGGAAAGCCTCGTTTTGCAGTGGCCAACCGTCTTGTTGGACAGTCTCAACGTAAGTGCCACACCCTAGGATTTCACCTAGGCTTTCGTGTACTATTAAAAAGCGGTTGACCGTAAGCCCCCTTTGCTTGTGCATATTGAGCAAAAGCTGTTGCGTAATCCTGCTTCCACGGGTGCATGGTGAAAGCGGAGATTGAACGCTTTTGCCTTCACTGATAACGATGACTCGTGTCCCATAAATTCAAGTTATGTTGTTTTAAGATTAATCTTTTCTTTATGGCCATGCAAGCTCAGGCCGATTTGTTGATATTTTGCATTTAGGTTATCAATTAGGTCAGGCAGTTGCTTCTTTAGCCAGCGCCATGTTGGCAGCCATCGGAGAGTTTGCCTGTAGGGAGCCTAAGCCTCGTCACCTGCAACTCATTCGCCTGGTCATCTTCAAACCAGAAATGTTCCCTCAGTGTGAAGATGCTTTGAAACAGGGGGGTCGTTCTTACACAGATAAGACGAGTCTTCTCTCCAAAGGCACAGGTAAGAAGAAACTTGGTATGTCTTTCTGGGCATATGTGTTCACCAAGGGTAAACGCTTAGATGCAAACTGGCTTATTTCAGTCTGTTATGCCCCTTTAATATTTTGGCTTTCCAACGTATGGAGAAATTACAAACATTCTGAAGCAGTAAGCGGAGTTATTTACACACTGAAAACAAGAATGCGTTATCATTTAATACAGTTCAGAAATAGAACCTGGATTCATTTCAAGCATTGTAAGATATTCTTTGATGTCCATATTAATAGTTGATTTGATTCGACAGACATGACAAAGTCCCTCATGCCAGGGGCAGCTACTGACGAAACATCCACCGATAAAGCCCCGGATGAAACAATTCTGCTGCAAATCTTTGCCCTGGATCAAGCCACCATTCAGAAAGCAACGGACAAGATAGATAAGTTCCAGTCTGAGGAGTTCACATCCGAGGTAGGATTTTTCAAAAACGAGTGAATGCCCTGTCGAAGGTTAAAACCAGAGAGAGAGAGAGAGAGGGGGGGCGACACTGACAGCACAACGCTAAAGGTCTAAAAGGTTGGCACATATTCAAATGTAAATCACGGCACGTGCGTGCTTCACGCCATTTACGTATGTAGAC